GGCATCGCCTTCACAGCTTCTTTGGTCTCCGTTGGTTCCACCATGAAGAGAAATTCGAACTTCGAATTTTAATGACTAAACTTTAAGAATGTTGTACTCTCTGATACCATGTAAAGTAAGCAAGAGCTTTGAAAAAAACTTGTTATCTTATTCAATCTCACAGTACACACATATATACAAGCTTTTACGATAACCCCAAACTATGATCTATGTTTATCTATACACACATAGTCATTATCCTAATATCAGAATATACACATAATTATCCTAAGAGAAGGTTCTAGAACCATCTAGAACCTTAACATGCCAACATGAAGCAAATAAGGAGCTAGCAGAGAGGAAACGTTGAGGCACTACAAGAAAATATATCAAATTCCGACCACATTTCTAACCAATAAAAATGGTCGGAAATAATTATGATTTTATTCCAACCATTTTACGATGAATATAGAAAGTGATTGGAAAATGGTCGGAAATATCCAACAATTTTCTTACCATATTAATGTCGTCGGAATTTATGTAGGAAAATGGTGGGAAAATTGTGACCACTTTCCGGAAAATGGTCGGACTTGAATAGAATCATTAGAGACGTTGAAAAATCGGTAAACAAAGAGTACTAAAAGACTNTCACGGGCCACTCATTCTTCTTTGACAATCAATTACTATTATACATATATGATCTTCATTTAGTTCGGGTTTATACTATTGTCTCAGCTTGTGACTATTTGCATCCGTAACAAATCCGGAATTTCGATTTCCCATAAGAAAGAAAGAGTTTAAGCAAATGATAAACCAAAAAAAGTAAGTCTGAGAGATGATAGAGAGACGCAACTACCATTCGAAGAGGCACTCTCGCAATGGGAGGCCTCCAATAACATACTTTAAATCCCTTTTAAGAAAAATCATGGTATTTACAACAAAACTACTACTAAGACAGCTTAATGTATATATTCTATAACATATTCTTCCTATAAAGAGAAAGATAAAGTGAATTATATGTATATAATTAACATGCACACAGAAAAAGCAAGAGGAGGTATATTTAAGGATTCTTAGATAGAAGCATCAGGTAAAGCAGGGGATTTGCAAACAGGGCAAGAGTTCTTTATAGACAACCATTTCTTGATGCAACTCCCATGATAGTCATGACCACATCCCTTTAGTTCCCCTATCTCTTCTTTTTCCTTGTACTCCTCCTAATTGTTTATCATTTACCACATCACCATTATTATTATTAGCCTATTTCTAACTTTATTTATATACATTTACTTGCACAGTTAAGTGGTTTGAGAACAAGTGATCTTACCAGGCAGATCGCGCATTTTCTTTGCTCTTCTGTTTGATACAACGGAAAATATGTTGTCTCTAACAAGCAACTGGGGATTGCGCTGTTGGATAGACCAGTATTGACACTCCCAATCCTCTCTCCAAGAGCAAGAAGGTCCTGGATATTGTCAATCATCAGTTACAAGATTTTTGGCTCTGGGTGAGGCTTAAAAAGACGAGTGTGTTCTGAAATTAACCTCGTAGCTCATGTTATCGATGTCGAGCCTCATGTCTCTGTGGTGATCAAACATGTTTCTGGATCCGTAGTGTGATTGGCGATCTACAGCTATGAATCCCTGTGTTTTTGCACATCCACAAAAAAAAAAGTCATAGAAAGCAGTTCAGTATGCAGCAGAAATAAAAATTGAAAATCTATATGTCCAAACTTTTGTGGATTTGATTTCATCGGTTAATACTGGATATGAACTATATCACATTGGCTTGAGCTTCAAAGCACGACTTTTATTGGTATGTTCAGTGTGATTAGGACAAACTTCCAATCCAGAAAGGTGCCTCCAAAAGAAAAAAAAAAAACTATACCTCAGATGAAAACCGTTCATGGAGAGCAACTTCATCGAAAGGAGGCTGAAACCTCTCGTAAGAACTCCTGCGTCTCCCTGTGCGATCACCGCTACGCCATGAATGGGGTGATGTCCTTAGATGCCTAGAAGGATAAGTCTCAGTGACCAAATGAGACCTGTCCCCAGAAGAAGATGCTACTTGTCCTAATCGCAAACCATTTGAAGAAGATCTATAGGTAGGTGTTGACCTATNAGAAAAGCGGGAGCTTCTTGCAGGTTGTGTTGAAGTTCCAGGATAACTGTGAGAAACTGTAGAGTTTCTGTTTTCGATTAGCTCATGGTGATAGCCAGTGGTATCAACATATTTGCAACTCGGAGGAAGAAAATTATTTGTATCTGGACTAAAGGCATTAATATCTGCAAGGTGAGATTTAATGCGGTTAAAGGATAATGACAAGCAAAATTTTGAAGCATGAGTGTGACCAAGCGAAATTTGCGTACCTCCCGGAACTGGAGACAGTCTATGACAATTCCAGTCATTATTTCCGTGAGATGTCTGACCAGGAAATCGACCTGAGCTGGAACGCTCAACAACGTGGTGTGTAGAATGAGAATCAAGGCTCGGGCTTCTTGGCAAATTATTTCCATCTAAACTGGTCTCTAAATCAAATGTAGGACGACTCCGGACATTTCTTGAAGAACCATCTCCCCTGATCGAGAGATTATGACTTCTGTAAGTCGGGTTCATGAGCCATGGCATGTTATGAGGATCATGATCGTGTGTTATTGATTTTCCCATGTGTAATTCCGGGGTAAAAGGGATGTTTGAGGAAGTTCTGTCACCATGGTATTGGCTTGAACTGCCCATTTCATAAATGGAAGAATCACATGGGCTTTTTCGCTTTTGTGCTTCTCTCACATTTTCCATAGATTGATCAGCATTACTAGCATTTGACCATGTCTGGCGGTTGCAGTTTGAAGAAGATGCAAATGTCACATAATTATCATTTGGAGCAGAGAAAGTTGCAACTGTTGAACTCACAAAAGGATCATGGGATGGACCCGAAGCCCCCGGATTGAAGTGCGGTCTCTCCACACTATGACCTGAAGCAGTATATGCATTTGGTCCTGAAGAAGAGTTCCAATGAGAAGAAACTGGCATTCCCTCATTTGACATATTTTCTGCCGGATAAACATGCGATCTGTTCTCACTGGTCCCAGACATTGCTGAGAAAATATGGGGCAGATAATATTAATCAGAAATTCCAGACACGTTGCACATGAAAAAAGTCGAGGGCGTCAATGATGGTTCTAAAATGCTGCATCATAATTCTCACTAGCTGCGGGTATTCACTTATCAAGATTCAATTTTTACCTAGTAAAACCCAACTACCCAGGGTAGAAGCACATGGAACATCTTAACCTAAAAATAAACATGCATCATCAACCCAATAGCTTTTACAAAGGTTGAATACCAATCTCTATTAATGGAGAACGAGGTAGAAAAATTGATTTTCTATCAATCGAAAACAGATTGAAGATGTATAGGAATGGATGGCTAATTACCTAGACTCGTATATGGATGCTCTGGGTGCATATGATTCCAGCCTTGATCATGTTCATCGCCAAAAAATTGGGATGAACCAAGAAATTGTCTGTGCCCCATGACTACACAAGCTTCAACCTTGGAGCCAACTTAACCTGCACAGAAATTTCTCTTTCAGCATTCAAACTCATCCAGAGAAACATTTGCAAGCTCAGAAAATGTTGCTTTAATCACCAAGCAAACTCAGTTTTCTTTCATGAATGATATTTCTTAAAGTAAACCCAAGAAGTACCAAATGGTGGCTAAAAGTGTCTCACCTACTTGTATTCAGTCTGATAGTCTCATTTCAAGACCAAAAATCTAAATTTTGCCTACTGAAAAACCTCGTTCTATTTGAGTTTGAGAAAAAAGTGTTTTAAACTCACAATTCCACACGAAAAAAAACAGCATAATCAAGTGTAAGTAACAAGAATCAGAGATTGAGCATATGCAGAGAGAAGACTACCCCGGCCATTAATTAATATACAAACACCTTACAAAACATTCCATTTATGTGATTTTTCTAATTCACTCTTATCCAATATAATGTCATTCTAGGACGGACCTCAACTCCAGGTATGAAGGTCAAGTGCACAGTGGTATATCAATAGAGATATTCTCAAATAACTTAAGTAATTCTTTCTGGAAGATATTAGCCAGGCAACTTGGAGAATACTAACAGAATGAGAGTCCTATTTAAGAAATCGGTACATTGTTTCCAGATCTTGCCACAATTATCTTTGTTACCCGTACCTAGCATACTATACCGCAGAGCTCATGATATCATGATTCATACCCAAACAAGTTTTCGAGGAGATGGAATCTGTGCTGCAGGAAAGTTCATGATACTTATAGATGAAATAAAAACTTTAACTAGTGCAGATCTATCAGTTCATAAGGAAAACACAAGAGTTTGTCAATGAAACATAAACCTACATTTTGTTTTTTTAGCCAAAAGAAAAAAAGAAACTGAAAACAAACAAGAGTGAGAAAATAAAAAATCTATGCAGTTATGGATGATCCAATAGCATGACATAAGCTTAAAATATTTCCCAGCCAAAAATAGACTAAAGTACCCAAGTAAAACAGCTACTGTGCTTGATTGATCCACTGATTCACACACCTTTAATATAGTAGACCAGCCGGAAGCAATTAGTCCCTGGACTTCACTAAGACAATATGAACACCAAATGCACTGTCTTCTCTTCAGGTCCGCAAACATAAGTGAATCACTAGGGCTCCCTTATCTTAACGGTTTAGTCCACAAAAGTGTTAGCTAGCAAAGGTTAAGCACACATTTACTATACTAGCGCTCTTATTGTCTTAAAACATGCCAGGACATCTTAATAGACTCCTGATTTCGTGACTTGTGAGTCCACGGGCTCGTAAAAGAAAGTAGGTTGTGAGAAATGATGCTTTTGAATCATTCGCATTATGTTTCACACCATCGTGCATCCAAATAAACTGGTTGTCTGTGACAGAACTTCATTCTAGAAACCTTTATACGATAGATGTCTTCCTGTAAAGAAGGTTGAAGTTCCCCACTCATGGATTTCTTATACCAGACCTCAAGCATCTTTACCTGATTAATACATTCAGGTACAGATGCGATATTGGACTAATTCTTTGCTTACTCCCGTAACGATGCAACTCAGTAGGAGGATCAGAATAAATCTTGTGCCAGTGAAAACTGGTGAGACCATAAACTTTGTCACTGGCCATGTAACATTAGGAGTCGAACTAACCATGCTAATAACTTTTGGATCACTTATCTGACTACAAGTTCACTTTGCTTTCCCAATCAACCAAGAAGGTCTGCAACACCATCTGCCAATCAGAAAGGATCAACGAAAATGACATGACTTAAGGCCAGCCACCGATCCTATATGTTACAAAGGCTGGCATGTGGGACTAACATCAGATGCATTTTTACAGAGAAAGCTGCTATAATTTCAAATTTTGAAAAGAGTTGTCAAATTCATCAAGGAGGAAGATGTATTCTGACCTGAATCTATAGCCGTTCTAGTTCTCTACTCTCCCAAACACTTGAAAGACCAATAAAGGTTTTCCTCTGTTTCTCAACTACCTGCGGTTTTGTGGTCGAGAAAGACTGAGAAACCACCACTGCCCCCCTAAACCTGCAGGATACAAATCAACTAACTAAGGCCTAGCTAGCTTACCCCATCAGCCTGAACCCGAACATTATCAACAGCTAAACCAACACATAAACTCCTTTCGAACGTATAAACTAATCACCAATTATTGGTCTCTTCTAAGCATCGGAATCTAAAAGCAAACAAACTATGTGAAAGAAAACAAATTTACGCGAAGAGAAAGGAAGTCCGATATCCATGGAAACTCAAACATCCAAAATCGACTCCGATTCACGAAGATTGCAGAAAAGAGTCAGGTTAAATTCACCGACCGGAAAAAAAGTCGGGATTATACACAAACAATCATCACACAGTCACAACAAGAAGAAAAAAACGACGATCGGGAACAAAATGTACAGAATATCGATAAATCGCAATCGATTGAGCATATTTACACGCACATACACATAAGAACATGAATCGTCATCAGATCAACGGCAAAAAACGACGATGATCAGAGAAAGGAGAAACAAAAAAAACATACCACAACGATTCGGCGATGAGAAAAGGAGACACCGATCGGAGGAAGCAAAGAGACGATTCGTATAGATGACGCAGCTTTTTAGAAAAAAGGAGGGTTTAGATAGAGAGAGAGAGAATGAGAAATTCTGAAAATTGCTTCCTTTATTTTTGTGATGGTTGGCCAAAAAGGAAGAAGATCGGTTAAATATT